TGTTAGAGCTGGGATAGGGGTGTGAGAGCCGGGATAAGAGGGTTAGAGCCGGGATAGGAGGGTTAGAGCCGGGATAGGAGGGTTAGAGCCGGGATAGGAGGGTTAGAGCTGGGATAGGGGTGTTAGATCCAGGGCCAGGGGGTTAGATCCGAGATAGGAGGGTTAGGCCGGGATAGGAGGTTAGAGCCGGGATAGGGGGGTGTTAGATCCGGGATAGGAGGGTTAGAGCGGGATAGGAGGGTTAGAGCCGGGATAGGGGTGTTAGAGCCGGGATAGGGGTGTTAGAGCCAGGATAGGGGTGTGAGAGCCGGGATAGGAAGGTTAGAGCCAGGATAGGGGTGTTAGATCCAGGATAGGAGGGTTAGAGCCGGGATAAGAGGGTTAGAGCCGGGATAGGGGTGTTAGATCTGGGATAAGAGGGTTAGATCCGGGATAGGAGGGTTAGAGCCGGGATAAGAGGGTTAGGTCCAGGATAGGGTTAGAGGCCGGGATGAGTTTAGGCTGGGATAAGGGTTAGAGCCAGGATAAGGTTAGAGCCGGGATAGGAGGGTTAGAGCCGGGATAGGGGTGTTAGAGCCGGGATAGGGGTGTTAGAGCCAGGATAGGGGTGTGAGAGCCGGGATAGGAAGGTTAGAGCCAGGATAGGGGTGTTAGATCCAGGATAGGAGGGTTAGAGCCGGGATAAGAGGGTTAGAGCCGGGATAGGGGTGTTAGATCTGGGATAAGAGGGTTAGATCCGGGATAGGAGGGTTAGAGCCGGGATAAGAGGGTTAGGTCCAGGATAGGAGGGTTAGAGCCGGGATAAGAGGGTTAGAGCTGGGATAAGAGGGTTAGAGCCAGGATAAGAGGGTTAGAGCCTGGATAGGAGGGTTAGGGCCAAGACAGAGGTGTTAGTGCTGGGATATGGGCAGAGGCCCTGGATACTCAGCTTGGTGGTAAACATCTGGGGCCTATTTATGGGAAACCATAATAGTAATTTTCTTTCCTTACCTGCTCTGCCCTCATCGTGATTAGCATTTTTTAACCCAACCTCCAGAAAGCATGTGTGAAAGCCAAACCCAGCTCTCAGTTGCTGAGTACCAGCTTCAGGCACTGCTGGATCCAGGGGCTTAAAATGATGTCACAGGAAAAACGGTCTCTCTCCGCACTGGCACTCCTCCCTGTCCTCTTTGTGGACATCTTCCTGTGGGCTGGTAGATCCAGGCTCACGTCCAGTCTCTGGGAAACCCTGTGGGAAGAAAGCTGCCTTTTCCTAAGGTGAACAAAAGTCCCCCTGTTTGGGGTTGGGTGATGGGCCTGTGCCTGGAACTGCGGGGTCCAGCCCCACGTGACAGGAGGAAACACATGTTCCCAGGAGAAATCTTGGGTACCATTGCTTAGAGGGAGAAACAGATGCCGTGCGATGGGCACAGTGGGTGTTCACAGAAGCCATGAACCAGGGATGAGCCTGGGGCCCCAGCCCAGGGCAGCCAATGTTGGAGTCTGTCACTGGCGGGGCGTGGATATGGGAGTCAGCCGGTCCATGCCGGTGGCCCAGCAAGGAGGGGAGCAGCTGCCTGGCTTCCCTCTGGTCTTTGTGAGAGAAATGGGTTCTAGAGAGCAGGTCCTGGTGTGACTGTGGTCAGCACACAGCTTCAAAGAAATCATTTGCTCATCTCCGACTCCTCTGTATAAGCCACCTCAGCATGCGTGGTTGTCCTTTATTCTCACAGTGAGTCCCCTTCCTCCTTCCCACCCTCTGAGGCCACTCTTCATCTCTCGCCTCCTTTTCCCAGCCGAACCTCCGAAAAGTAGAAAAAACTTCGCCTTCCACTTGCTTCTCCGTACGGGGCGCTGTGCCTTCCTCCCTCCATCACCCTGCCCAGAACTGATCTTAGCAGTCCTGGCCTCTGAGGGTCAGGAACGACCGTCCTGCTTCACACACCGCAGGCAGCCACACGCTGCTGAGCCACACACTGCAGGCGGCGTTGTCTCCCTCCCTGTCCTACACACTCAGCTGAAAGGGGGCTTGTCCCAGGAAGCCTTCCCCATCTGCCTCGTCCCACAACATTCCTAGACCCCAGAGGCACCTTACCATAAAGCTTGTGAAATGGTGTTATGTTCATCTTTTCTCTGTCTCCCTTCCAAACTGTGAGCTCCCTGGGGGGTAAAAGCTGTGTCTATCTTTAGCCCCCAGTGAGGAGGCCCTCAAAATAGGGTGAGGGACTGGCAGGGAAGAGGGGTACATCTGCTGTTCCTGTAACTTATAGTTTCTGAGGTGTTTCTTCAAGCAGACATCCCCAGCCCCTGGGTTGTGGACCAGCAGCAGTCCATGGTCTGTTAGGAGCCAGGCTGCACAGCAGGAGGTGAGTGGCCTGCGAGCAAGCATGACCGCCTGAGCTGCGCCTCCTGTCAGAGCAGAAGCGGGGCATTAGATTCCCACAGGAGTGCAAGCCCTATTGTGAATGGCATGTGCACGGGATCTAGGCTCTGCGTGCCTTATGAGAATCTAATGGCTAATGATCTGAGGTGGAAAGTTTCATCCCAAAACCATCCCCCGCCACCCCACTTCCCCCAGCCCCCTGGTCTGTGGAAAAATTGTCTTCCACAAAACCAGTCCCTAGTCCCCAAAATCAGTCCTGGGGACTGCCCTCTTAAAGGACTCTAGCCCCTTGGATTTTTCTGTCTGCTCCTTCCCACCAGCCCACCTTGGATCCTAAGACCAAATAGATACCATGCATGTAAGGTGACAAATAGACCAAATTTAACCGTGCATATGCAAGAGACAATTTTCTAAACTGGCAGAGAGCTTGAAAGAACGATGAATGTCCATGCACCCTTTGCCTACATTCGCTAATAATTAATATAACCAAGTATATATTTGCATTATTGGCTCACTGGAAACACTGGAAATCCGTGAAATTAGTGATTTTTGTAAGAGTATATAGAATATGAAACCCTGTAACAATTAGAGCCTGGAATTTGTCCTTTTTGAAAATAGGCCTTACCTTTGCATATTTCAGCATTAGTCATAAAAATCTATACTGATACTATAACCTAAAGAATTGGGAATTGAAAGTTGTCAAAGTGATAAGTGCAGTAGGGTTGGTCTACTGGATTCAGGTCTCCACTCTACAACTGAATAGCTTGGTGAGTTTGGGCAAGGTACTTCTCTGTGGCCCCATTGCCGCACCCATGAAGTGACGACAATAAATCACAGGGTTGTTGAGAAGAGTAAATGGGTCAGAGTGTATGAAAGAGCCAACCTGGAGAATATGCTCCTTAAATGGCAGTTTGCAGATGGTGGCAGAAGAGAAAAAGGAGAGGAAACTGTGGGCGTCCCAACATTCTCACCTCCTTTTCACAGCCAGGACATTTCAGTTGTGGGTCGGATTTCTTGAAGGGAAACAGATTCGGCTCCAAGTGGTAGGGCTTTCTCTCTCCTAAGCTGTCCCTGGAGTCCTGTAATCCTCAGCCTCTCTTAGCCACCCTGGATACGAGACCCCACTGGAAGCCACTCTGCTGGAAAGTTCCTAGAAGCGAGGAACCAGTTTCTCTTGGCAGTCCCTCTAACACCAGAAGCCCTGAGCATGCGTCTCCTCTGTGTTTGCTGGGAGCGAGCACTGGGACCATAATGTCCTGGAGACGGGAGCTGAGGCCAGTGGCTACCCAGCGTCCCTCTGCTGCTTGTGGCCTGCCGCAGCCTGGGGCTGACGAATTCAGCAGTAACCAAAACCCCTTTTGGGTTTCAACTCTCATTTTCTAAAATTGGTATTAAATGTGGGCATTTTATTTCTGGCCTCAGTAAGCAGAGAATAGTCAATGTGGCAGAATCTGATTTCGTTGATTATAGACTGAGTAGGGTCCCAAGGAGATATATGTAGATCAATTTGGGGTGTCCGTGGTGCTCCAGCTGCGTGTGTAGGGAGTGTGGGCCTAGGACCGAGGGTGCCCTGGAGTTCCCATTTTTGGAAATGACACAGACTTCCTATCACCTCTTGTCATCTGCCGTCTTCTCCTAAAATGCCAGAATAGGTTTTAGTTTGTTGGGATTTTTTTTTTTCCGTAAATAACAATAACAACAACAAAATAGAATGGCACTGCAGAGTGGTGTCCTCGTGAGAACTACATGGTCTTCACCCCTAGGTGGAAAGACACAAGAGAAGTCTTGGTGAGCATCTCAGAAAATAGTAAATACATGGTTTGTGTGGAAAACCAAGTTTCTGCTTAACGGCCAGTCAGCAGCATGTTGATTCTCAGCCTCTCCTGACACAGGCTGTCCCTGGTAGAGATGTGGGCTAGCAAACGTGAGAACCTGAAACCCACAGAGCTAGGGTGTGAGAGTGCCCCTCCCCTGCCACGCTCAGCCCCCAGCCACTGCTCATCCACAGCTGCTGAGTGTGACCACCACATCTGTGGGCGGCTAGGATTTCCAAACATTCATGCTTAATAGTGTAATGGTTGTTGATTGAAGGGACATCCACTTTAGTAGTATGGGGATATCAGATCCTTAAGAGGTGCTGGAGATGGGCTGCTCTCCTTCTAGAGCCCCAGGTAGGTAATAGGAAAGGGAAATCATTTGTTTTGCTGAAACAGCAAAACCTGGTTTGTAGCCTAGGACACATTAAAATGGAATGAATTCATCGGGCAGAAAACCATCTGCTGGGTAAGTTTAGTGAAATGAGATCAGGCCGTGGTTGTCCCCATTCCCTGCCCCTCCACCCCTAACCCCAGCTATCTGAGTTGGTTTCGAGACAGGAGGCCAGGCTGGAAGGTGCCCATCAATCCCACAGCTCTCCCTGGGGGTCCTGGGGGTCTGCAGCTGTGTGCTCCCTGCAATCCAGGCTTTTGTTCTCAGTACACAGAGCACTCCCCTTCTTTTGCTTCAGGCCTCCCTCCTTCCCCCTGTGGAAGGGGAGACATCTGCCCCACTCAGGGGCCACAGATTCCTTTTAAAGACAGGCTGGGTCTCCCACCCAACCCCAGCACCTTGATTCTTTGGTCTTCAATTTGCTTTCTAGCTCTCAAAGACTCCGGTAAGGGATCCATCAACAGTGACTGGAAGATAGAACTCCCCGGAGAGTTCCAGATTGCAGGCACAACTGTTCGCTATGTGAGAAGGGGGCTATGGGAGAAGATTTCTGCCAAGGGACCAACCAAACTACCGCTGCACTTGATGGTAACTTGCTGGGCTTCCACACTTGTCTTAGGGGGCATGGCTCCGAGAGGTCTACCAGCTTACTTTCCAGTTTACATCTTCCTGGTACCTTAGGGGCAGGAAATGCATCCAGCTTCCAGGGGTTTACGAGGTCCCCTGCTGCTCAGTCCTCTCCCTTCTCTGGGTCTTTTCTTTTCCAGTCCCTTGCACCGCCTGCTTCAGAATTCTGTCATTGCTTCCCCTGTCTCTTCCCTGGCAGAGCTCCTATCTTTTTCAAAAGGAGCTGCCTCAAAGAAGGAAATGCTTAGCCACGTGGATGGCAGCCAGGGAGACTGGACCTCATTAAGCAGACAGCCCCACTCAAAGTCTGTTTTCACATCAGGTAGTGGGATGCATAGATCTGCCCTCACAGAGTGTATATCATTACCTTTTGCAAATGAACTTTGACTCCAGGTCCGAACTAGCATCCCTTAGATTTCACAGACCCAGCTTGCAACAGGCATTTGGGAATCTGGAAGGGGGATCCGATGATGCGGGTGTCCTACTCCCCAGAAGATCTCCAGAAACCTGTGTGCTATTGGGCCAGGCCAGGGCGCCATTGTCTTACCTGTTGTCCCAGGGAGGCCTCCATGCAAGCCACTGAAACATCAGTGATGCATGCTTTTAAACATGTCAGAGATCTCCAGGGAATGGAACGCCCTGCTTCCTTCTCAAGATCCAGGAGTTCTCATGGCTAACTTCTGATAGCTCATCATTATTGATTCTGTGTCTCCTTCCAAAAAACAGGATTTGTGGCAGCTTGTGCCCCTGTAATTAAAGCACACTTTGTCCTCAGTGCCTGCCAGAGTCTCTCCATGGAAGTTCTTCTTCCCCATTAATTTGTGATCTCTGGCAGCCTGTAAGTGTTCCAGATTAATTGACACCCAAAAGATTTTCTAGCCATTAGCCAGAGAATCTCCCGAGGAGGCTTGCTCTGCCAGGGAGCACTGGCACCGAGGGTGGGCGTTACCCCATAGTGGTGTTAACCCCATTACGATTTCTGGGTAGACAAAGGCAAGGCAGTTTTCATGTGCAATCTCAACCACGTAGAAATCTGCCAGTGCACCACTCAGCCCGCTAAATCCACTGCAAATACGTTCCTGCAAGTAGGTTTCTGGGACCTAATAATGTGTACTTAAGTCATTTCTCTGGGATAAGATTGTTTCCTAGTCACAGAACAATCCTCCTATTCCGAGTTAAAAGCAGTTATTCAGAGGGACTAAGAGAGGAGGCAAAACATAAAACCTGTACTGAAACCTCACTTGTTAACATGAGAATTTGCTTTCTCTAGCAAACACCAATGTGAGTGTATTTCCCTTTTCACCAAAAGCTTTTGTAAACTGAGCAAGTTGTTAGCCCATTAAAGCGAAGTACGCAGCCTGGATTCATTCAGACCAGGATGAACAAAACTCGGAGAAAGCAACTACTACCGTAACTGAAGTTTCAGCCCTCGCTTAATATTGATGGCTTTTCTTTCAAAATGTGATTGTCACTTGAAGATTTTAAAACTGAAAATGAGAGGTGCCCCTTTGCCTCTATATAGAAAGCCATTGTCCCCAAACTGGAGTGTACATACTGTTTGCAGAATCTGTAGCACCCAAAGAATCATGGGGACCCACATTTGAAACCAATTATACACACACACACACACACACACACACACACACACACAATACGTGGCTACAAAATTGCATGAAATTTGTTTCATATGAATTCTCAATTCACCAGTCTTATTCTCATACTGAGCTGATAAAGATCTCTTTCTAAGACTAGTTTGGTTTTTGGTGGACTTGTTTTCCTAACTGGAGGCATTTTTCCAAATGTGTTACGCCAGGTCTCTCTGGTGAAGCCGTGGATGTTGATTGCAGTTAGGTTTGCTCTTAGCACTGCAGCCCAACCCCACAACTCAGCCTTGGAGACTGAGAGATGGCTGGAGGGAAATGGCTCCCATTGTCTGGTACACTTTGACCTGGTCTGCCCCAAGTCAAGTCAGGTGGGCCATGCACACCCTCCCCTTAGTGCCTGCTGGCCCATTCTCTCGGACGTCTCAGGCTGGAAGTGAATCTGCTAGTTACTTAGACCCAGGGGCACTCACTGCTTCCAGGCTTAGCTTGAAGACTCATTATCCACAGACAAACCATGTTAAGCTCCTACAAGAGGGCTTGTTTGACACCATTGTGTCTAGATAAATAAAACTGATCATGCACCTGCTGTCTTTACAAGACTTGTCACATGCCGTTGTAAACCCATCTATTCTGTATGTTCTTGCTGACTAGGATTTCAGATCCAAGGTCTCCAAGCTGTATGGTAGTTTCCCACAAAACATGATAGATCCCTCCCTCTACCTCCACTGCACTCCTGGCTTGAAGCCTTGAGCCTGGCTCCTGCCACCCTTGGGTACAGTCATCATCCTGGCTCCCATGGCAGTGGAGGCCTCTTGCATCCTTGAACTCTCAAACCGATGCCACCCAAAGTCCTCTAGCAGTGAGCTGCATTTTGCCCTTGAGCTTGCCTTACCCCTGACTCTCTGGACCAACTGACATGGCAGTGATTGATGATGGGGAGTGAAAGATGATGTTCATTTCCAAAGAAGTAGAGTCACCGCACTTGCTCTGATGCCTTTCTAGGTAAAAGTTTATCCATGTCTTTCCTGTGTGCAAGGGCAGCTTTGTGGGTGAACACGCAGGACTGTTCTCTGCGTGGAGCAGCTCTCCATGAAAAGCGCAGTGAGAGGTTTCAGAGTCACTTATCCTAAAGCTCCTAGTCTAAGCTGGTCTCTCTCTTGGGTAGGAAATAATAGAACTTCCTGATGATGGTTTGCATTTGCCCTGCTCCCAAGTTGAGTCCCTGAGGAATCCAGGGCTGAGATAAAGGAGCACCCTCAGTCAAACCTGTTTTCAGCCCCAGAAAAGAGCTGGTTACCCCCCATAGAGAAACAGCCGCGGTGTGCCTGTGTGTGCAGATTTGGCAATCCCGTGGGCCTTCGTTCCTTTTCAAAACGGCCTTTTGTTTTGCGGCTGATCCAGGTGTTGTTATTTCACGACCAAGACTATGGAATTCATTATGAATACACTGTTCCTGTAAACCACACTGTGGAAAATCAAAGTGAACCAGAAAAACCGCAGGATTCTTTGTTCATCTGGACCCATAGCGGCTGGGAAGGGTGCAGTGTGCAGTGTGGAGGAGGTGAGTGGCCGTGGGCCGTGGCCTATTGGGTGTGGGGTTTTGCTGAAGGAAGGAGAAAGGCATCTGTGGCCAGCACATAGAGTCTGGGAAATCTGTAACCTGTAGTTCCATGGGAATTTAATCATACCCCACTGAAAATCTCTCTGCAGAATACTTGGGTAGAGTATTCCCACACTAGGATCATGCCCATACCGCTGCTTTGCCTGGGGCTCAGGGCCCCCCAGCTCTGACCTGTGGGTGAAGTGGGGTTTGGCTGATGTATGACTACGTCTTGGGTGTGACAGGTGGACCCTGGGAATAAACAGAATAGACCTTCAACTGTTGCCGCTTGCTGGAGGGGCACCAAAGCATGTCTCTGCCCACTCCCAAATTCCCTTCCCTCTTGGCCACAGTCACCTCACTCCAGGACACAATGGAAAGAAAAAGTCCTGCAAGTCGGGTGAAACATTCCTAGCATGAGTCCTGACTGCACAACTTCCTGCTTGACCTCAGCAAATGACTTCCTCTCTCTACCCCGAGTTCCCTCACCTCTAACATAGGATAGTTGTCTCTCATGCCCCCTGCAGGGTCCGCAGGGTGAGCCAAAGAGCCTGTCGTACAGCAAGAATCAGTATGACCACAAGGCCTTGTGTTTATTGTTGTGTCATTGAGAGGGAGCAGTAGGAAGTCATTCTGAACTCTGAGCCAGCAGTTTCTTAGTACAGTGCTGTCTGTCACCCTAGCAGGGAACATAGCAGGGTCATGGGAGGTGGAACACAGGGTGGGTGGATTTTAGTGGGCACAGAGTTGAGACAGAAGATTGACCTGGACTCTGGTAGGCCAGCCCAGAGAGTTGGATGACGGAGTGGAAGCCTGGGCATAGCTCCCGCCATCCCTAGTCCTGAGCATCTATTAACTGCTTGGATAAGTTTTATTGGATGTCCAATATGTAAAGCTTTGCTTACCATTTAAGGGACTCATCCCATTTTTCATGGGTAGGAGTTATAGACACACAGGAATTTCTTCCTGGGCATCTTGGCCAACCACCCTCACTGTCTGTGCTTAGCCTCTTCTTGCAGCAGCCCTGCGGCCGTTGGCATAGCCTCTGGATACCACCATCAGCCCTGCATCCTCCACTCTGCACCTCTCCCTGGGGGCCTTCTCCCCCTCCGCCCTTAGCTGCCCCTTGTGCCAGTGACTTTTCAACCTCCAAATCCAGCCAACACATCTACCTCTGATTCCAGCCAGATTTTCCTCTTGGGCAACTTGTTGCAAACTAAGCATAGCCCACATGAAAGAGTAAACAGGCTCTCCTGGGGTCAGGGGCAGGCTGTTCTGTTGCTGTGGGCTTGATGGCAATCCTTTTATGACACTGATGACTTCCAGCTTCCTAACACAGTGGTCAGACCTGCCACCAAAGCTGAAAGCAGTTCTGTGCTTTCTGTACTCACAAAAGGCTGCCATGTGGGGCAGCAGGAACTGGCGGTGGAGTTCAGGTCTCCATGATTTCAAGTCATCCCTACATGACAAATTGCCCAGGACACAGACCAGCAGGGAGCCCAGGATCCAAATAGTTGTGCTCGACTCCCTATTAATCTTTTATTGTCACTCTTCCCAAATAATAATGACAGCAGTAGAGCTAACGTGAAGTGTTAGCCACCTGCCAGGTTCCATTCTGTGGACACCATATATATTCGTTTATTTTAATCATCACTGAGGCACCCTCAGGCACAGGGAAATTACGCAAACCAGCCTGTTTGAGGAAACCGAGATGCAGAAACATGGTGGCCAACTGTCGACACTATGGTCACTGTGATGCTATTTGTGATAGAGCCAAGCCTTGAACCCAGACAGCCTGGCTCCAAGGGCCACCCTCGTAACTCCCAGTCACTCAGCCTGCCTGACAAAGGCCTGCCTGCCATGCAGTGTTTAGGGTGCTCTGGGAACACCCAAAAGAAGGGCTACATCCAACTGGGATAATGGATTAGCAAAGCTTCTCAAGAGCAGGTGGGAGCTCCGCCATAAGTACCAGCTGGCTGGCTAGACAAATTCAGAATGGCTCTGGAATGCCTGTCTAGAGGATGCAGGTCTGCGTGTCTTCCAGACCAGACTCCTTGTCCCCCACTTCTCCCCAGCAAGCAGGAGTTCTGTAATAGGTAGCCAGACTCTCTAGTGAGGGCTGATGTGTAAGTATTTAATTGAGATCGGATCTCCATAGACTTTAAACATCAATCCAGAAGATAAAAAGATGAGCAATCTTTGGAAATTAAAGGCCCAAATCAACGAACCTCAAGCTGTCCAAGGACACCGCTGATCTGAGGTGTTGCTGGTTTCTCATCCTGTTCTAGGATCTTCCAGGGCCCCACTTTGCCTTCTGTGTCTTGCACCCTCCTCCCTGCAATTACAGTTCTTCTCTACAAACCCACACAACATTTACAACAGTCACTCTAAATGACAAAGTGCCCATCAGCAGCACCCAAACATTCCTTCATGGGCTTGCAAGCCCAGCCTTTCCAGGTGGGTGAGGCCACAGTCTCTCAGCTCCCTGTGATTTGGTTTCCAGGAGAGCGCAGAACCATCGTCTCGTGCACACGGATTGTCAACAAGACCACAACTCTGGTGAACGACAGTGACTGCCCTCAAGCAAGCCGCCCAGAGCCCCAGGTCCGAAGGTGCAACTTGCACCCCTGCCAGTCACGGTAAGGAGCTGGGTTCTGTTCTGTAGCTTGGACCCACCAGGATCTGGGGCAGCAGCACCATCAATGGTGGGGAGCCATAGGCAGTTAATGCCACAGTACTGCTCTATGCTATGTTCCGTTATTGTTGATGAGTGATTTCTGCTTGCTCAAATTACCAAATTTCTAGCTACTGAGCCAGAACTCTGATGGAAATACAGTCTTCATTGGAAGACATTCTGTAGGAGACCATTAGTAACATCTCATGGCAACGGAAAAAAAAAAAAAAAAAAAAAAAAAAGCCATCACCACACACTTTTAACCAGTACCCATTGGCTTCCCCAAATTACTTTGTCTTGGTGGAGAAGGAAACAAATATTGGTGTCTGAGTGTCCAGGAGAAAGGGTGCACACAGGCTAATGTTGTGGGTGACCTGTTTCAGTAGCTGAAATTCATGCCCATGAGTGTGGATCTTGGTGTTTGTTCTTTGGGATCAATCAGAACTTCTGTCCCAGCCGCAGCTTTCATGGCCATGTTACCCATGTGAACTCTCTTGGGTTGTCAGGAGATGAATTGTGGGGAATGTGTTCATCAGCTAAGCCTCCTCTTTTCGAGTCACTTTAGCGTGACTTTGGCAAATCCATTACATTGTGTCATATCACCCTTTGACCTTCCGTTCTGCTCTGAATTGAGGTGAATAGTTTTTGCTTTGCGGTTCTGTGTATCATTTAAGGCATGTTGACCTTTTCCAATTAGACTGGGTGTTTAGTATTTCCATTTTTTAGGTTTCTTAACTCAATTTGTGCCGCTCGCCTAGTACCAGAGTTTCACAACATATTTGGCTTCTGCACCAACCCCCTTTGTTTTGTCAAACTCTTAAAATGTGTTTGAGTGAGAAAGAGAGGAGACAGGAAGGAAAAAAAGAAGGTGAGGCTTGCTGCGATGATTTTCTGTGTTCCTTGCCAAATTAAGAATGAAATTCCACCCTTAAGGCTGAAGGCCTGGAGGAAGAGCTCACTGCAGGAAATCTGCTTGAGCACCCTCGGTATGAGCAGCCGTACCACAAACCTATCGATCAGTCTCTCAACAAGTCACATTCATGGGCCACAGAAAGAAGGATTTGCCACTGTAAAGACTCAGCAGTCTAACAGGCTACAGCCTCTTCTCTGGAAACTAAAGATGGCCTGGCCCTGGTGAAGTGATTGGAAAACAGGGTAAGAGACGATGGAGGAGGAGAGGTCAGCATGAGTTCAATGGCATGATTGAGCAAAAAGGTCTTAGGGCTCCATTCGAGAAGCATATTTTAACATCAGTTCTGTTTTCAAACTATTTTATACCCAAGTCTTTTTAAAATTATGCACAGAAACCGATAAAATGAAACAGATGAAATGAAAGCTGCTGCCACTGAATTGAGACACACACGTGATGTGGCAGAGTGGGCCAGTCTACTCTGCCTTTTCCACCTCTCACAGTCGGTCCTGGCTCCTCTGTGGGACTCCAGGGATAAGGTTTAAAAATCAAGGGTTCTGCTTCCTGTAGTGATAGAGTAGCTTACATTGGACCAACCCTCCTGCAGATTACAATTACAAACTCTGGAGACAGTATAAAAAGCAATTGTTTAAAAGCTAGAAAGCAGCCTGGGAGAGGGGGCTCCCGCCTGTAATCCCAGCACTTTGGGAGGCCAAGGCGGGCAGATCACTTGAGGTCAGGAGTTCGAGATCAGCCTGGCCAACATGGTGAAAGCCTGTCTCTACTAAAAATATAAAAATTAGCCGGGTGTGGTGGCAGATGCCTGTAATCTCAGCTACTCAGGAGGCTGAGGCAGGAGAATTGCTTGAACCTGGGAAGCGGAAGTTGCAGTGAGCCAAGATCTTGCCACTGTACTCCAGCCTGGGCAACAGAGCAAGACTCCATCTCAAAAATTAATTAATTAATTAGTTAAAGCTAGAAAGCAGAAACTGAAGAGAAATAAAGAAATGGAGGAATAGAATGGCATGGAATTGAATACCTATGTTGACAGCTCTTTAACCAAATGAAGGCCCTAGTTCCATTGAGACTAACTAAAAGTCTGATAGATACCTGCCATCTTTTACTGGTTAAGCCATCAAAGGAGAATATCCAGGGAAACCCATAGCAGCTAGAAATTGAGAAGGAAAAACTCCAGAAAAGAGGGAGCCACAGAAGGGGACTCCCAAATTCTGCATGTATCTCAAGAATCTCTGGGAATTCTTAGAGACTAAGGCCAAATCTAAGAATAAGACAGCCCCGCCAGACCCCACATAGCACAGCTAAGGCTAGAAGAACTGAACTGAGACGGTAGCTGCTGCCCACCACAAGAGAGACAATGCCTGGAGTTTTATTCCAGCGAATTAGCTGCCTACTAAAACAAACATTCAATATTCTTCTAAAATGATACTCTAGAACTGCATTGTTCAATATGGTAGTCACTAGCCACTCCAAATTGAAATCTGCTATAAATATAAAATATACACGAGGTTTTAAATATTTAGTATGAACAGAGATTATAAGTCTTAACTTAATTTTATAAAATAATTTTAGATTATAAAATATCTTAATTTTCTTGTGATTACTTTGATTGTAATCATCCCAAAGGATTATATTTTGGATACATTGGGATAAACAAAATTACTAAAATTAAAATGGAGATTTTTTTACTATTTTAATGTGACTTCTAAAAAATCCAAATTAACAGGCTGGACATGGTGGCTCATGCCTGTAATCCCAACACTCTGGGAGGCCAAGGCAGGTAGATCATCTGAGGTCAGGAGTTCGAGACCAGCCTGGCCAACATGATGAAACCCTATCTCTACTAAAAATACAAAAATTAGCCAGACATGGTGGCACACACCTGTAGTCCCAGCTACTCAGGAGGCTGAGGCAGGAGAATTGCTTAAACCTGGGATATGGAGGTTGCAGTGAGCTGAGATCACGCCTCTGCACTCCAGCCTAGGTGATAGAGCCAGACTCCGTCTCAAAAAAAAAAAAAAATCCAAATTATATATCCAATTCTCATCTTATTTCTGTTGAACAGTACTTCTGTTCATTAGCGTATCATTCACAGTGTTCTGGGTACAATCCAAAATTACTAGTCATACAGGGAAACAGATCCATACTCAAAAGAGAAGGCCATTAGTGGAGACTGACTGCAAGATGGCGTATGTGTTGGAATTAGAAGAAAAGAATGTTAAAGCAGCTATTGTAACTATGCTCAAAAATGTAAGGAAAGCTATGCTCATGGTCACAGAACATTTAGGGAATCTCAAGAAAAAAAGAGATACTCTACAAAACACAATTTTACGACTAAAAAATACAATATCTGAAATTTTAAAAATTCACTCCATGGATCTAACAATAGAGTAAGATGATGAAAGATTAGTGAAGTTGAAGATAGAAGTTTGGACATTATTCAGTCTAGAAAACGGGAAGGAAAAAATTGTTGACAGTGAGCAAGACTCAGTTACCTGTGGGGCAGTAGCAAGCATTTTAGCATAAGGGTAATTGGAGTCACAGAAGGAGAGGAGAGAGAAGATGGAGCAGAAAATAATCATTTAAGGAACAGTGATCAAAAATTTCCCAGATTTAGTGAAAGACAGATGAGAAGTAATCAGATCACATCTTCATGTTTCAGCTAGATTCCAGATTAATTCAAGGTGCCATAACAAAGCCCTCTGGTCATTACAACAAGTGGGCCAGTATAGCAAGTTCATGATTTTGCCTCCCATGTATATCCTAAGAGAGAACCTTGCTGCACTGCAAAACTGAAAACAGAAAATCATGCAGGAAAACACCTATAAAATAAAGTGACATAAACAAACATGAATGTAAACTCTATAAATGAGTGCCACAGAGCTGTGCTAAGCCTATGATAGATAACATCAAGTGTGTGTATTGCTACAGAAAGTTCAGAGTCATTCTGGCTTGATGGACCACAGTCCTGCAGTCTTGCCATGTTTTAGCCAAGTTCAAGCCAAACACCTTCAGACTAAAAGCAATTTCAGAAGCACGTTCTTAGTATCTCCATAGAACAGGAGTCAGCAAACTTCATCTGTATAGGTCTAGAGAATAAATATTTTTGCCTTCACAGGCCACATGTGGTCTCTGGCACATTTTTTTTCTGTATTTTGAGTCATAATCCTTTAAAACATGTAAAATTTGTTCTTTACTCTTGGGTTGTACAAAAATAACCCCGCAGGCCAGACTTAGCCCACGCATAAGAGTTTGCTGGCCTCTGTCTCAGATTATTGCTTACTCTCATTTTGCCCACTGAGATATTGGGACCACACCCTCAGCATGAGCCAGAGCTCTGCAGGTATTAGCTCAGGGAATGTATTTTCTTATTATACAAAGGAGAACATGTTAGAATACTGAATTTCTTTTTATTGTGTAACTTAATAAATATTCTATTTCTGCCTCCCCACCACTTCTCTTTTCCCGCCTCCTTCTACTCCCTTCCTGACTGTAAAATCATGTGAATCAGACTTAAAGAATGAGTGGAATTACTTAGAGCCGAGAAGAAAATGAAATTGAAAAATAAGAGAAAATAGCACCTAAAATCTGCCTTAGAGAGCCCAGACAGGAAGTGCCTGGATGTCTGCCCTAGGTTGGTTTTGTTTGCTAATTTGTTGATTTGTTTATTCTGAACCATCTGACCTTGTATTTTTTCTTAAAAGTGCCATGACTCATCAAAGAGGATTTATTGTTTGGCTAAAGAAATATATAATCTGATAATAGATTTTAAAGCTCTTGCAAGTCCTAACAAGATAGATCTATGCATATATACATACACATACGTATATACATACACACATGTAAATATGTCTACATGCACAATATACATCTATATATACGTATTATGTACAGTAGTCCCTGCTTATTTGCAGTTTTGTTTTCTGTGGTTTCAGTTACCCAGGGTCAACCATTGCCCAAACATATTAAAAGGAAAATTTCTGAAATAATTCATCAGTTTTAAGTTGCTTGCTGTTCTGAGTAGTGTAATGAAATCT